TTCCGTGTAGCTGAGTGACCGTGACCCGAGCATACTAGTATACGCAGTAATGTCACGCATGCGTACAAGGGCGACTCGCTAGATACACACGTTTGTTATCGTGACAATCGGGCTGCGTTTCAACAATTCCTATTTTATCAAGTTTACCGATCGTTAGACGTGATTTAGTGTATTAGAGACTGGTTCTAAAGCTCGTTAGGAAAGGCTATATCATGACAAATGCATTAACGGTTCCAAAAGTCTGCTAAGGTAGGAGAAAACATTCAATGTCTCCGTGCTAGTTATAAAAATGTAGTGTGTGCTATCCTAAACGCAGGGCGCCAAACTGAGGCTACGATAACATTATAAGGTCGAGTGGGTGGGTTGGGTTGTTCTGTATTCTATAACAATGCATTAGAAATGCACAACATACTACTGATTCGTAATCGCTTGTAGTCGTCTAGCTTATATGCCATTCGGTGCTACACAAATCACCCAGAGAATGGCGTTTGACATTCAATGTTGTGTGGCCACACGCAAAGTATTCGGTACTTGAATGGCATTGACGCGCACGTTCAAGTTGTCCCAAGAACTCAGCAAGAGTGATAACAACGAGACATAATGGCGAGACCGACATTCCATCACGTTTTTAATCGAAGTAACTCGAAATACTGAAATTGTTGGAGATATAGTCTGCTTAGTAAAGTCATGGCTGTCTCTCGTTAAATTCAACATATTGGGTGTCAATGCATTTGCACATTTTTGTTGATATCGCGTACAGATATGGACCAGTATGGACCCGTTTATTGGACTTATTTATAACACTCGACACTAAATTTCTAAATTCTACGTTTCCGAATTTATTACTTGCATGATGTCACATTCATCCCTTTATCATTGCGATATGACGTCACGGTCTTGCCATGATCATTGCGAAGAATCAGGCTAAGTCAATAAACTTGTTGTCACTGTGCTGATATCGGATCGTGTGGAAATAAACACTATTGTTTGGCAATGTACCATGTGTTACCCGACATCACTTGTTTGGGTGACGACCTCTTGTTAAAACCATGAGTTGTAGATTACCAGTTTACTCTATGACATTAGATCCGGTCATTTCGATAATATTATTTACAGAACGACTGTTAATAATCCGTACAGGGAGTTGTCGCTGAGCAATAGGTCGTGTATACTATATTTCTTTATACTTGGTATACAGGATATTGTGGCTTACTGCCCTGCGTGATGTGTGCACAATTATATTTATGAACCATGCCTCTACTCGTCCTTATCAAATAACCGATGGCATGTATTAATCATCACGACCTCGTGACCTGTTACACGACTGAACATTGTGTTTTACAGCTGATTGCACTCCAAAAACAGAGGCAAGTCTGTTTGTATTTTTATATATACTGATGAAGCTCGTAATTCGTAAGAATTCGTCATTCGCGAGAATATTTCACCTCATCCTCGTGACAACGCTGACTTTTAGTTCTCAAATTGTGTCAACTCCAGCACTAGGGTAGAATGAGTGTTGCGAGTCACGCCATGCAGAATGAGCATCACTGATAGATAATACCCTCGAATATTAAATAAGCATCATTGGATGTTTAAAATAATAACTCGATAACAAATCGCATTTTTTGAACCGCGGACATTACCTAATGTCTAATGCCTAACTTGGCATTCATGATTACGTAATATGTCACTGCTCATTTCAGTATTACGTCAGTATTCCACGTGCACAGGATGCAAATTACAACGATATGCAATACGCCGGCCGTGTTTATGTTATTTATTAATATTATTTTTGTCTTGCTTTGCTGCAAGAACTGATTCCTGACAGGACTCAAATACACTATTTCATGGACTAGGCACTACATCTTTAGTTTGGCTGAAGTAAATGGTAGAAATTGAAGTTACCTTATGTTGGTTAACCTAATTACACCACAATGAGAAAACTTGAATCGAATGATAAAGGCTGATATTCTGGTCAGTTCTCTGCTGCATAATTAAACTATGAGCTGCAAATAATAGAAAACTCGATCTCCACCACCATGTCTACAGGATATATTTGACTGGTTAGATTGTCCCCTAATTTTAAATGTTGGGATGATCCATTCCTAATTTACATATTTAGCTTTGATAATACAATTGAATGAAGATATTTTTATTGTTTTCATTTGTATATCCAATCTCATAATACAATATTAATATATTTAAAATTATACTTTGAACGTACTGTAATCAATCTTTTAGCTCGCTGTGATATCACAAAGAACATGAATTTTAATCTAGAATTGTAGTCGTATTAATTATAAGAAACCCAAAACTACCGTACTGTATGTCATCTGATTTAGCGAGTTTTTCGATGCATGCACATCTGCATTTTCACCATACAAAACGAGTTCCATGTTTAATTTGCATATACAATTTTGGAGTATTATACACAGAAAGCTTTATCTGTAGTCGGCCGGCCATGCACTGAAAATACTCTTTGGATGTAATTTTACTTAGAAGCAGGCATGTATGCAAAATTGTATCGCAGTAAAGTACTTGTTGGGGTGATATCATTTGTAATTTTGGGATTTAAAATAGCGAACTAGGTCACAATTTAGACATGTATACAAATTTGATACATAAATATATTTTATTGGATTTAAGTTAAAGTTAAAGTTTAAAAAGGAACATTTTCAGTGTTCAACCGGCTGACTACTTCACGTATACCATCTATACTATCTTCTATGAAAAGCTGTGTACACACACGTGTACGCATTATGTTAAACATGTTTGAAGACAAATGACAGAGACATACAACACGAATCCCTGTGTCTTGCTGTTAATCGCTGTCCGATTAAACAATGGCAGTTGTGCAACTGAGTTATCAGTATTAACATAACCACATTTTGCCTAGAGGTGCACATATCCAACATTTACCGCTTGTACATCAATTACCTAGTGATTGTAAATCATTTTTCGTATATAACATTCATCGACTTTGTAAGGGGATTTGTAACATTTTCAAAGAACACTTTCAACAACTTTGATATACAGTCTGAAAGCTATTTTTTAACTATTAATACCTTTCTTTGGACATATCATATGGTGTATGTGGCTTTGTGTATCAAAACAAAATACAATTTTCAAAACAGCTTTTCAGAATGCGTTTTGTTGGTTTTCCATACAATGCGGAACCGGATCCGGAATTAAGTAATTAGAAAAACTAATATTAAATTCAACTTAATTAAATACGTGCATGAGGTTTATGGTTTGGGTTGATAATTCTATATATCCCTTTATTTACCCTAATGCCGATGACAATACCCTTTAAAATAAATTTAACCTAAGTTAAAAGTTGAATTTCAGTGAAAGTAGATATTATTTGAAAATATAATTAACTTGAATTTTTCTATATACGATTGTAATTAAATTAAATTAACTTGTAATAAGCTTGCATTCCGACACAGTATTTTCATTATATTGAATTTAATTAGGTTGACATTCAAATGAATTTCTATGTAGATTTGTAATTTATTTGAGTTACTCCAGATTCCTGATTCGTGTTTAGACAGTCGTTTTGTTTGATACATAAAAGTAGGTTGAATAAATGCACCCGAATATTTGATTAGGCCAAGTATGCCACTGTTTTTATGCAAATTAGAGACGGGCTACCTGAACGTGTTTAAAATATAATCATATTTTAACCACTGCAGAAAATTACGACAGTCCCGACTGAAGGTGTACTAATAATAGGTATAATTATGTGAAAAAAGTGTGAATTTTAAATACATATTGACATAAAAATATCATATAGTTAGTATTTCTTAGAACAAGTCAATCACAGAATTTTACATCTAAACAGCGATATCCCAAAATCATTTTATTTCAGAAGTGAATTGTACATTCTACTGGTTGAATTTTGCAGCTCATAGTTCAATTGTTTATGTAGCAGAAACTCTTGACTTGAATTTTAGGTTTGAAAGTTTTCGCAATGTAATGTAATCCGATTGACCTTAAAGAGATCTTTATAGACACCTCAAACATTGCAGTTGGGTCAGTATTGCTCAATTTAGTCACAATAATTGAAGCTGCAGTCAAAATTGTAAATACTATTAGTTACTATACTATTTGCCGCACTCTATTTTAAATGGTCCATAGAAAAAAAAAACCCTGATACCACTGTATTGCCGGGTGCACGGTCACGTGAATTGTAGGACCGTGCTCATGGATTAGTACGCCTCTACTAAATATGCTTGTTACTTTGCCAGTGTTGCCAGCTTGAGTTGCACTGAAATGTCACCTAACCCTATATCTGGCTACCGACAAACTCCTAGTCTTTCTGAATAGGTTTGATTCGATGGCTTGATGTATTATTAGTTCTGTGTGGCAATGACCCGCGAGCGAGTACACCTGCCTTTAACGGAACGTTGCAAATTAGTTCTAGGCCGTCTTCGGTTGGTTGGTTGGTTGGTTGGTCATCGTCGTCATGGTCATCGTCGTCCATCTACCTTAGAGAATATTTCAAGCCGTAACCGTAAAGCTATCACACAAACAACTAATATTATGACCTTCACATTAAATGGCGTGTGTTATAACTGCATGACTACCCAATACTGTCTGAGTCCAGACTTTTATAACTTAATTACACCTGCACATATTGTTATTTTAAAGGCTCACACATTCTTAAAATAGATTGATACACACCTGAGTACGATATAAAGTGTCAAAGGTCGTTCTATAGTTTGATACACACGCATCGCTAATATTCGCGACGAATATCTATTACATAATTATCATATAGATGTTCATATCTATTACGCTAATGCATAATGTCAATTTTAATAAAAGATAATTGATTCATTTCTAGCGACGATGACGTTCATACATTGGGCAATGAAAGGATGATGCATGCTATGACGTCATTGTGTTCTATTTTGTTAATGTCTTCGCAGTTTGTGGCGATACTTGGTAAGTGATTTTTCGTGACGATATTCTCTAATGTTGTGATGATTTTTTTTTTTCATTTTTAGTAAAAGAAGTATTTCGACGTCTCCTTGAAACCCACAAGTCCGATTGCTTTCGAATGATTTTTCTTAAAAATATGCGACAATTTTTTAAAGCAAGTAACCCTTACATATGTATATATTTACGAGGTCGTTCACAAGAACTTGACTAATCGAAATAGGGCCGGTAACACGATACACACGGTATATATTGCTGCAAAATTATCGCATAATTCTCTATTTTGAATTTTGAAACGATATCTAATTTCAAAACAATATTAATCGTTGTAATTTCCTGATACTTCAACCTTGGCATACTACGTCATCATCATGCATTCGCCGTATAAGTTGCCGTGCATTCGAAATATAATACTCCGCGCATCGGAATCACGGGTGACCAATTACGAAGAATCATCATTTTCCCTGATGTTGAACACCTTTGTTTGGGGGTCAGACATATGTTTTATCTGGTATTTGTGTATAACGACACGGAGTGAACTATCAATAAAATCTTACAATTTAATGGCCAGCTACCTTAAAATAACCTACATATAGCATGAAGTACGAAGACGTACCAGCTATATGTATACGTGGGTAACTGAAAAAGATAGGACGTTTAAACACTTTT